AAAGTCGGCCAGCTGCTGGCCCCTTCGGTTCCGTTGCCCTACTCCAAATTTCCCTACCTTCAGCTCACCGCTTTCTCTTGTGCCCAGTTTTGCGTTGAAGTCTCCCATCAACACCGTGTAGTAGGTTCTGGAGGAATGTATGGCTCTGGAAATATCCTCATACATTTCCTCCACCTCCTCATCGGGATGTGCCGAGGTTGGTGCGTAAACCTGAATGACCTTCAGCGAATACCGTTTGGTGATTCTGAGTATCAGGTACGCGACCCTCGTCGACACACTCCCAATCTTTACAACGTTGTTGACGAGAGATTTGTGGACGATAAATCCGACACCTCCTTGGGACAGATGGTCGCCCTCCCGGTGATAGAACAAGTTGCCGGACTCGAGGATTGCCGTGTCCTCCCCCTCTCTTCGGACCTCGGATAATCCAATAATATGCCAGCGCAACTTGTCTACCTCTTCTTCCAGCTCCAGTATCTTCTCGTCAGTCCTCAGGGTGCGTGCGTTATATGTTGCCAGGTCGAGTCGTCGTAGGTGGCAACCGAACCTCCACCGGAGATTCTTAGCACCCCCTGCCCCGCCGTTACCATGGTCGCCACCGTAGCCAGGAATAGCGGGGCCGCCGGGGACTGGGGGCCGTCTGTTTGTGTATTTGTTCATTGGGGGGTATTTGCCATAGTTGCCACGCTTGGCGAGCGGGTTGGCAACCGCAGTTTTTTATTACGTCACAGTTGTCATCAGGAAGACGCTGCTGCCCATCTCCTGCCTGTCTCCCTCTGTCGCCCCTTACGACACCCACGGGAAGATATGGGGTAGTGGATATTCTTAACCGCCACTACACGGAAGGAACAGGAAGCATTATTATTCCAGTGCTGCGATGAACCTTGTGAAGCTAGATGGCTTGCAGGATGTGAAGACTGCGGACAATATCTGCTCGGGAGCGAATGGGTGGGGTATTTTATGATGATAATGAAGATTGAAGTTTCCGAAGGTTGTTGGTTGCATGTTCAGATCACGTCGGGGTCACCACTGTGGCCGTGGAAGGAAAAGGGGAGAGGGTGTTCTGCCCGGGGAGCAGCCAACCCTCCGTGTGATATATAGTTCGGAGATGTTCTATATATGCTGTTTATGATTCGGAATGTTGATAGCGTGATTTAGGCTTCAGTATGTTTCGCTTGCGGCGCGACGACAGCGCCGCCACAATCTCTAGAGCCATGCATTCCTCCAAAACCTACTATACGGTGTTGATGGGAGACTTCAACGTAAAACTACCTAGGCACAAGAGAAAGCGGTTAGCTGAAGTTAGGGAAATTTGGAATAGGGCAACGGAACCCAAGGGGCTAGCAGCTGTCCGACTTCATGGAGAAAAAGGGACTCCTAATGATCAACTCTTTCTTCCAGAAGCGGCCCCACAGGAAGCGGAACTGGTCGAGCCCCGAATGTTCGACAAAAAACGAGACTGACTTCATTACGACGACTAGACGGCAACTGTTCAGTGATATCTCAGTGATCGCGAGGGTAAAAATTGGCAGCGATCACCGAATGCTTAGAGACACACTAAAACTAACCATTAAGTTAGAGAGATCTCGTCTAATGAAGTCAAGGATCCGTCCCCCTCGCTAATCCAGGATCCCGAAAACTTTCAGCTCGAATTACAAAACCGTTTTCAGTGCCTAGAAGATTGCAATGCAGTGGACGATATGAATGACAAACTCGTGGAAACTATCCATGCGGTCAAGGCCAAATTCTGCGAAACCCGCCGCAGAAGAACACAAAGCTCCGATCACAACCCTAATCTCATGGCTCTTAGACGGAAAATGAAGTTGCAGTCTTTAGCAGATTTGGCAGCATGTGGCGGGACTTACGCAAATTCAATACAGCTCGCATTGAAGAAGCGATTGAGCGGAACCAAGGCTCCAATGTCTTTGCCAGAGATCTGTATGTCAGAAAGATCTAATTGTCGAAGCTGAAGACCGATTGTGGCGGCACAGCATCGTTGCCGGGACACCTGAGATTTTGAATGAGATTGAGTTTTTTGGGGGGGCGCCGCCTCTTTGGGCAGGGTGTGGGTGTCTATCGAATTTTCGATAACCGACGTCAGTCTGAGCGAGATTAGAATGGCTCTCCAGCATCTTAAAAACGGCAAATCCCCGGGCGACGATGCGGAGCTTATGAAAGCAGGTGAAAAACCTGAACTTGAAGTCCTTCAGAAGCTCTTTAATTCAGTATCCGTCCTTCATGGTTGCACTACTCCCGAGGCGTGGAGCATAAGTTCTTCAAGAAAGGTGACAACGCTCTCTTGAAGAACTACAAACCGATATCCCTTCTCTACGTGCTGTTTTCGACAGTCATTAATATACGTCTCGCACGCAGACTCGACGACTTCCAGCCTTCCGAACAAGCCGGTTTCCGAAAAGACTCTAGCACCATAGACCACACACATATCCTTCGGCAAATTGTACAGAAGTCCAGAGAGTACAATCTGCCACTTTGACTGGCTTATGTGGACTATGAAAAAGCCTTTGATGCCGTCAAAATTTGGGCGGTGCTACAGCCCCTTCAGCGGTACCAAGTTGACTGTCGATATATCGAAGTGCTGAAGTGTTTGTACAGTAGGGCTACGATGGCTATCCGAGTTCAGGACCAGAGTACGAAACCTATCCAACTGCAGAGAGGTGTAAGACAGGGTGACGTTATTTCCCTGAAACTCTTCACCGCTGCCTTGGAAGAAGTTATCAGGCTACTGGACTGGAAAGGATACGGTATTAACATCAATGGCGAGTACATCACTCACCTTCAATTTGCCGACGTTAAAGTCCTTACGGCAGAATCGCTGGAAGACCTAAGCACTATGCTTAATGACCTCAATAGTGCCTTCCAACGGATAGGTGTTAAGATGAACATGGACAAAACGCAGGTCATGTGTAACGTCCATGTCAGACCTATGCCGTTAGTTGTTGGGAGCACTAAGCTCGAAGTTGTTGACGAGTATGTTTACCTGGGACAAATAGTCCGACTAGGTAATTCCGATTTCGGCCGAGAGGTCACTCGACGGATTCAACTCGGCTGGGCAGCGTTCGAGAAATTACGACACATCTCATCAGCTCCTCAAAACCTGAAAACGAGACTGTAAAACCATGGCGTGTTGCCAGTGATGACCTATGGAACTGAGACGTGGTCCTTCACTGCGGGCCGTATAAAGACGCTCAAAGTCGCTCAGCGAGCTATGGAGAGGGCTACGCTCGAGGTTTCTCTGTGTGAGAAACTTAGAAATGAGGTTATCCGCAGTAGAACCAGAGTGACCGACATAGCCCAACGGATTAGTAAGCTGAAGTGGCAATGGGCCGGCCATATAGCTCGAAGAACCGACAACCGATGGGGGAAAAAAGGCTCTCGAGTGGCAGCCTCGTATCGGTAAGCGAAGTATAGGGCCACCCCCCACTAGATGGAATGACGACGTGGTAAGACATGCAGGAAGTCGATGGATGCAGGTGGCTCAGGACCGTGCTTTGTGGCATGCATTGGGGGAGGCCTATGTTCAGCAGTGGACTTGTGAAGGGCTGTAATAATGATGATGATGACGAACGGAGTTAGTGCCGCAAGCGTTTTACTTGTTCCTCTTTCTTTATTTTTGATACTTACACGAAAATAAATAGATTTTAAAAATAAGACTGAATTATTTTATAAATTTTATCTTTCTTTGACTAACGGGACGTGATAGGAAAGATTTTAATCTGCTCAAACTGTAATTTTATTAGTGTTTTGCCAAGACTGTCCGTGGTAATTTCTGGCAGCTATCTGTTTTATCTTTGCACATGGAAGACGACCCATACCGTCAAGGAGAAAGTCGATCCTGTAGGCTCTCTTTTTTTAAATAATGGAATCCATTATAATTTGCGAGCACATAAGGTACCTTGAGAAACACCAGCTGATTAGTGACCGCCAATGTTGTATCTAGTCAGCTGGTTCTAGTTCTAATCTTCAATTTATTGGACTCATATATGAGCGGAAGCAATAGAGTGGAAAGAAAAAAGATTTCCCACTGGACAACGTGTTCAGTCCTGGAAGTAAGTTCCAGTTCCATTCCAGTTCTATATGATAGTGTGATTTAGGCTTCGGTGCGTTTTTCGCTTGTAGTTCCTCTACAGCGCCGCCACATCTTTAATAAACAAAATCTTGAATTGGGGACGACTCTAGTCCACTTTAAACTTCAGAAGACACAGATTTGCGCGTTTCCCTCTAAAAAAGAACCCTTTTGTTGTATCTCCTCAATTTAAGGGCATTCCCCATGCTGTCTCAGCCAGCATCTGAATTCTGGGCATCGACATATCGAATGATACAGTTACGCGGTATTTGTAAGGGAAGGTTTTAATGGCCTCTAAAAATCTGGTTTGCTCAGCAGAGGGACAGTATTTGGGTAAGGTTGCGATCATTGGACCGGCGCTTTCATTGGACCGCTTCGATATTTTCGAAACGGTTCGATTTTAAAACTGTGAGGCGTATTTTTTTTCGTCTGCTAAACTAAACCATGTAAGTAGATATTCCTTAAGGATATTCATGCGTGTTGTTTAATGTTCTGTTCTTTGTTTATCAACGTTATTGATTCTTATAGAAAGGAATGTCCAAAAGTTATAGTTTAGTCGTAATATTTGACCTTGTAAAACCATACGTAGTTGCCATCATTGAACCACCTCGAAGCTCTTCGATTGGACCGGTCCAATCATGGCAACTAATATAAAACCTGGATTTTAAAATATCATTCGGAGAGATCTACCTATTTTTTTAAATGTGAAATGAAATAATAATAAATATTTTAAATAAATTGATTTAATTTTAAATGGCAGCGTGTGTTTAAAATATCATTGGAATACCTATGTCAACTTATTTTTTTTTAAATGTGAAATAATAAATTTTTATAAAAATAATTAATTTAATTTCGATTGCCATGTTTGTGTGCTGATATTATTGTATTGGTAATAGAAAACAATTTTTATTGCAGCATGTCGAAAAGAGGGCAATATTACACGTGGAGTGAAACAAGCATGAAACTAGCATTACAGGCATTACGTAATAGGGAAGTTGGCTTAAATGAAGCAAGCAGAATTTACGGTGTACCAAAAGCTACATTAAAGAGACGACTTGATGGCTCAAATCAAACAGCCAAAGAAGAAAAACAAACGCCAGGTTCTGCAGGTGATCTCACACCTGAATTGAAAGAAAAGTTGCACCAACATATTCTAGAAATGGAAGCCTGTTTGTACGGCCTAACACCAAAAGATGTGAGATCACTTGCTTTTAAAATAGCTGAGAAAAACAATATTAAACACAGATTTAATAAAACAAAAAAAAATGGCCGGGAAGAAGTGGTACTATGCATTTTTAAAGCGTCATCCCAGTCTAAGTTTAAGACAACCCAGAGCTACATCTTTAAATAGAGCTACAGCATTTAACAAACCCACTGTCAAAGACTTTTTTGAAAATTTTAGAAAAAGTGATGGATGAGCACGGTATACATGACCCACGATACATTTATAATGTAGATGAGACAGGCCTCTCAACAGTGCAACGAAAACCAAGAAAGATATTGGCCAAAAAAGGAAAGCATCAAGTTGGTGCTATTACAAGTGGTGAGCGTGGATTCACTACTGCTGCTGTGTGTTGTGCAAGTGCAGCTGGCCATTTTGTACCACCTCTTGTAATTTTTAAACGAAAAAACGCTAAACCAAGAAGACTGTTTCATATGCCTATATTGAAAAATGACTTAATTAGTAACATAAATGTTAAAATAATGATTAAAATGTTCATTTCTTTAAATTGTAGTATTATTATTTTGTCACCTTAAACCATGAAATTTCCGAGTTCCCATCAATGGACCGGTCGACTCAATTTCCTAAGTCCAATGATGGCAACAAAGTAGTCTAATGAACGTTCCAGTGGTCCAATCAAAGAAACCTTAACAAAAATCATTTTACCCATTTATTGACTCTATTTACTATTTTAGAATTCTGAAACTTTAGGTATTTACACAGGAATACAAGAGCACTTCAGTAACTAAATCACTTTTATTCCACATTGTATACATTCGTTTTTTTAAGCATTTTAACAAAAGTGGTCCAATCATCGCAACCATGTCGGTACACTGTATGCAACTTTACAAGCCGCAAGTTCGCCCTCAGATGTATAGTACTATTGTCGTTTCTGGACCGGGGTACCCCAGGACCGCATCCAACTAAGAGCTTGAATAGTCGACGATCGAATTCCATTCCATTGCTATTGTTCACATTCGTTCGACAGTCGACTCATCGTTCATCATTCGACTGTTGTCCAATGCAGTTCAGCCGTTCAGCTGTCGTCGAAGATGAAATCATGCAAGCGGATCATTTCAAGACCATTCGTCTGCCGTCACAAACTTAAACAGGTCGACGTGGGCGTCCGGCTACCTTCAGCGCCGTATGGGTGCGATTAGCTAATCCCCAAACCATTCGTTTTGCCGTCGGCCGACATCGCCTCGTTGAGAATCGATGGGATGCGGTTTTTTTTGCATCCTACCCTTGGGGGCGGGTTTGCTTCTCGCCGGACGATCCTAGCGTTTTTGCTGATTCCGTCGCTGATGTGGCACTTCAGGGTATGGAACTTTTTATTCCCTCCTCTGTGGTGCCAATTGGAGGCACATCCCAGCCATGGTTTGATCGCTACTGTAAAATAGCATCACGCTATAAACAGGAGTGCTACCAGGCCTGGGCTGACGCATCAACGTCTCTAGATGTAAACACTCACACAGCGCTCTTAAAAAGAAGTATAATTCCGCCTCAAGGTCCTTCAGAAGAGTCACTGCCAAGGCAAAGTCTGAGCACATCGGCAGACTTGGCGAGAAGCTAGTTCGCCTTCCTTCGGGAACCTGTACATTCTGGTCTCTCCAAGGCCAAGGCTCTCGCCAAGGCTGTGCAAGGGAATTTCTGTCAGTCATTTCTACCATCTCTGCACAGAGAGGACTACTCACTGGCCCATGCCGCAAAGGAAAAAGCCGATCTGTTAGGCTCTCTCTTTGTGTCCAACTCGACTCTCGATGACGGGGGGAACACACCGGACGCCGGATGTGCGGTTTACACAGCGCTCGGTTCGCAAAGCACTCTTCTCCCTGTACGTCAGTAAGTCGAGTGGGCCTGATGGAGTCCCTCCCATTGTGCTGAAGACGTGTGCTCCGGAGTTGGCACCGCTTTTAACGCGACTTTTCCGGTACTCCTGAAATTCCCCTGGTGCTGCGGTTGTTCATGGGCGGCGGTAGTCACTCACCATCAGGTGAGCCGCATGCTCGTTTGACCCCTCTTCTATATATAAAAAAAAACTAAATGAAAAATAAATGGTGGTTTTCTCCGTCTCTCCTACTATTTATTGGCTACCAAGCCAATGTTTACGAAATGTACACACTTAATACTCATACTATCTCAGCTCATATTTATATGATCTTCTTCAATAACTCACAAACTGGGATACCTAACTGATTTAAAGACCGGGACACAGGGAAACAATGCTTCAAACTAGGACATATCCCACTCTACTGAGCCGTACGGCGCAGCACCCCTATACTTTAACCTTTAGCCCTAGCCATAACCTACGCTTTACCAAAGATATATCATGGCAAAAAAATTCTGCAGATCATAATATTGACTGGGAGAGAATACCTAAAGGCACCGTTGTAATCCTTTTTATTAAGGTGCAAATAAGTGTAAATAAATAAATATTATGAGATCTATATTACAATACAGGGTTAAAGCGTCTTCCAGACTCATTGACTTTGGTATAAATTTGAGTAAGATGAGTCATATTTAATTGATCTGTTAACCAAAGCCAGTAACGTTAGCATCAAAATTGTTCCAAAATATATACTTGATATTATAGCCTGCCTTGAACTTGGGTGTTAGAAACAAAAGAATAAGAGGCGACAGAGAAAAACAAATCAGAAGATGGGCAGCAGCGTCTTCCTAGTAATGATTAAAAATTAAAACTGATTGGCAACCAGCTTACCAAGCATGGCAACTATGGTAAATATGCCCTTTATGAGACGATTGTCGAAGTTGTGTTATGGATCATTTATTTTACTGTTACAAATACTATTTTCACATTTTCTATTATCAAAGCTGTTATGAATATGGGGCCAAGCCCTGTTTTATTGGTTTACCAGTTATTTTGCTGTGGACTACGGTCCATTTCCCAACTTCTAATTCATGATTCTACTGCGGATAATTTTGTAATAGAAACCATATAAAATTTATAAAACTAGTAATATTCTTATACTTATTCCTACTCTTGGCAAAAATGTGTGTTCAGATTATCACTATTTTCGCAACTTTCAATGCAACAACGTATATAATTAATATTAATCAAAAATTTTCCTATTTTTGAGATTTCTACTGCCATCATTTAAAAAATTAAGGCTAAGGAGCTGACTTTTCTCTAAAACATTGCTTCTTTAAATATATAAATATACTAGCTTGCCAGACAGACATTGTTCTGCCCTTTTCGACGACCCTTTGTCATGTCCTATTAAAAATCCTTAAATTCGCAAAAAAACACTATATTGTGGGTCACTCATGGGCAAAAAAAACTATCCTATCTCTCAAGTTGGACCAAACTGTACATTGTCCAAAACTTCAATTAAATCAGTTCAGTAGTTTAGGAGTTCATCCCGGACTAACAATGTGACACATAATTTTTATATATAAAGATTATTTTATATATTTAAAGTAATTATAAATAAGATTTATATGTGGTAGAGCCATGCTGCAGTTATATTAGTAATATAGTTGTAGCACAAATGGGTTGGCTCAACTGGGGAAGTGTGGAAGGACCACGCTCTCACAAAATACCATCCTTAAATAGTAGCTTAATGCTGCTGTGTTTCTTTGGTGAGTGCAGAGAGAGTATAGATTTAATGTAGCTATCCTGGTCCTGTCGAAGCCAACCTAACCTCTAAAACTCCCCTGACACAATCTTTCCACAAAGTTGTTAACTGAATTTAGTGGTTAAGCAAATTTTAGGTAGCAAGTTCTCAAGAAACATTATTTATTTTATATTAGAAAGATATTCATTTTGTAAACTGAATATATATCATACATTAAGTTATATAATTGAATGTTTATATGTAGTGTAAGTCTAATTGACTCATGGCAATACATTGTTTTGCAACATCTCACTCACTTCATCCAATCTGTGTGAAATCAACAAAAGTTTACGCTAAAATCCCAGTTTTAGTAAATTAAAAATTAAAGAATAAAGTTTTAAAAACATTTTTATTTATAATATTTCAGGATTTTAGACTAAAATTTACTATTAATAATCCATTCTTGGCAGTGTTTTCTTTGAACCACCTACCAGATTTATGTTCCTGACCAACTGCTGCATACAGCTGTGTACCATCTTTAGTAAATTGCATACAATTTATGAAACCATATGCTTGTATACTAAACATAGGCATTATTTTTCTATACGCTTCATACACTTTCCACAATCTGATATTATTGTCATATGAACCTGAAGCAAAAACATCAGAATTTAAAAGTGTTGCTAAACTGGTAATCCATCTAGAAACATTATTTTCTGAACCATGAGCTTCTGTCACAGTACACAGTGGTTTCTTTTTTAGAACACTCCAAACACAAAGTGAGCCATTATCGCTACCAGATACAAAATGTTCTTCATCAATAAGTTTAACTTCATCTAAACTTCCTATAGGTCCATTGAAAATAAGTTGTGATTCCTCTACTATTTTCCATATTCTGACTGTAGTGTCCCGACCTCCTGCTGTGATTGCCCTCTCTCTCGTTAAAGCATCAATTGCAGTTATAGAAGATTGATGACCAAACAAGGTTTCTACATATGCCATTTCATCTAATGACCATATTTTAATTGATCTGTCTTTACTGGATGAATATAAATCATGTGTATTCCTTCTAAAAACAAGCCCAGTGACAATGTCTTTATGTCCTTTGAATGTGTGTACATGTTTCAATGAATGAGGATCCCATATATTTATGCTGTTTGATTCATCTGATGTTGCTAAAAACTTTAAGTCTGATGACACAGCAATTGAAGTAACACATCCTTTAAAAAAATTGGCATGTGTTTTAAATGTTAGACAGCCTAATTTTCTCTTTTCTTTAATACCCCACTTAATAACGCAACCTGATTTGCAACCGGTGAATGCCAACTGGCCATCAAGACTAACGCAAACACATGTCAATGATAAACGATGTTCTTTTGCTCGAATCAACCTACAATCGCTTTCAGATGGCACAGTATAACTATCTGCGACATCAACACGTAATTTACCCTTCTGTTCCAAATAATCTTTCTGTAATCGTTTTTCGATAGCATCGTCTAATTCCTTCAACTCTGCTCTTTTTGCTTCTTCTTTTTCAATTTCTTCCAAATACTT